TTTTTTTCTGCTTATGTGGTGCTGAGGAATCGAACCCAGGGCCTCATGCATGCAAGGCAAGCACTCTACCACTGAGCCACCTTCCCAGCCCATGTCTCTGGTCTTATAGTGAGAGAGGTATGTCTCACTTGCAGACATATCTCCATTCTCACACCAGGCCCACCTAAAGAGGGGTGAGTGCTCACACTGTTGTCTTCGGGGCTCAAATGGTGGAGTGTCCCACCCACTATGAAGTGGGGGGATATGAAGGTGGGGTGGTGGTGGTAGTATCCCTGCATAGCTGCAGAACCCTTTACTGGAAAGGACTTAGAACCATAGATTTCTCTCATGCTACTGGAGATCTTCACATCCCTGGCCCTGTTTCATTAGTGAGAAAACTGTAACCCAAAGAAATTCAATTCTGTCATAGCTTGGAAAAGAACACAGTTTTGCCCACACCTTGATTCTAGAACTTGATCTCCAGAGCTATAAGATGATTACTTCAGGCCTCTACTGTAATTAACAGCAGTAATAGGAAATGAATTCAGAACAGACCTAGGAACTGACTAGTGCTTAAAGAGGCCCAGTGAGAACCAGGCAGAAGAGAAAGAATATAGGCTGTATGCTAGAGAGGACTAAAAAAATGTTTTGAAAACTTTAAAGGGGAAGGTATTGGGATTAGATCACAATGCATTGGTAAAAGGCTAGTAGACATCACTAACCTGTGGGTCTAGTTCTGAAAGGATCCCTAGAGTAACAAGCAGACTTTCTGAAGGACTCTCTTAGATTGAAATGGACAGTGGCTGTGCTGGCCATGTGAGTAATGGACTTGGCTTTGGGGAAAGAAGGCCGTGTTGGTGAAGTAGCTCTGAAGAGGCTCCTTAACAATTTTCTGTCATCTGCTAGTAATGCCAGTTATAGCAAACGGCTGGGTTGTGCTGTATTCTTCTAATAGTTTGCCACATTGTGGTCAGTTATCATGCATGCTTCATTTGTGGGGGAGTACTGTTGTGTCTCATGTGGCCCACAGATGTGGATCTTGAGTCTCAGTAATCTGGTGGACAAACCTGGGGCCATTAGGCACAGTATTATCCAGACTTGAAAGGATCATTGTTATTGGTCATCACTGGCTGCCCTTCATCTGTAGCTCTTCACAGACGAGAGGAATAGTGCTGCTGTCAGGAGCCAGAGCGTTTACTGAGTTGATACCTAAGAAATGGGCATTCTTTTTTTTTTTTTTGGTCAGTTGTGGGGCTTGAACTCTGGGCCTGGGTGCTGCCTCTCAGCTCTTCAGCTCAAGGCTAGCGCTCTACCACTTGAGCCAGCCACAGTGCCACTTCTGGTTTTCTGAGTGGTTTATTTGAGATAAGACTCTCATGGACTTTTCCTGCCCAGGCTGGCTTTGAACCATGATCCTCATATCTCAGCCTCCTGAGTAGCTAGGATTACAGGTGTGAGCCACCAGCACCTGGCAGAAATGGGCATTCTTGTACCCAGAAGAGCTGTTTGCCTGAGATCAAATGATCTGGGAACCCCAGCTAGAGAAAAGCCTCTTCACTTTGGTCTGGTAAGCTTAGGAGTTGGGTTTATTTATGCTCAGAGCAGCACAATGTCCTCTAAGCCAGGTGGTTTCAGCATGTCTGGAAAATTGAGCATATGCCTTGCTAAGCAGATGTTCTACCACTTGAGCCATGTTTCCAATCCAGGCTTTGGTCCTTCTAAAGCCAGTCCTAATTCTCATTATAGTTTCCTTGTGGTGCTGAGAGAGTTATAAGGAAAGAGCCACAGTTTCAACTTCATCCTAGATTTGTTTAACCAAGCGGTTGCTAGCTAAAAAGACAGGAAAGTTAACTGGGTGCCGGTGGCTCAGGAAAGTTAATTGGGTGCCGGTGGCTCATGCCTGTAATCCTAGCTACTCAGGAGGCTGAGATCTGAGGATTGTGGTTCAAAGCCAGCCTGGGCAGGAACATCCGTGAGACTCTTATCTCCAGTAAACCACTAGAATACTGTAAGTGGCGCTGTGGCTCAAGCGATAGAGCTCTCGCCGTGAGCTGAAGAGCTCAGAGACAGTGCCCAGGCCCAGAGTTCAAGCCCCATGACTGACCAAAAAAAAAAAAAAAAGACAGGAAAGTTCAGGATACACAAGGCTACATAAATGCTGTGACTTTAAGGAGCCATTTCCTTCAACTCACTGGCCCACACTCAGGCAGAGTTTCTCTTTGACCCTGTCTCTTCAGTCATGTCCTGGTTCCTTGTCAATCCTTGGCCCTGTTTTCTGTCCCTTCTCTCTGCTGCACTTCTGTGCCTATTGCCCCAACAGAGTGTAGCCTTGCTTTCTGAGGGCTTCAGGTCTCAAGTATCTGGCTCTCTGACCTTTCTTCCCAGGAAAGACCATCTGGTTATGCTGGTTGTGACATGTGGAGTGTATATCCCTTTGCCCGTAAACCATACATCTTCCTGAACCTTGTTTAGTGGATTCACTGTATAAAACCGAATCCACTTCAGAGATCTTGCTGCTACTTTTAATAATTTCTATGTTGCTTTTTTGTGTGTGCTGGTATTTAAACTTAAACTCAGGGCCTTGTGCTTTCACTAAATATTACAATTTTTGAGTTAAATTTTGATTTTTTTTTGGGGTCAGTTGTAGGGTTTGAACTCTGAGCCTGGGCACTGTCCCTGTGCTCTTCAGTTCAAGGCGAGCGCTCTACCACTTGAGCCACAGCACCACTTTCAAATATTCCAATTTTTAATGCTATTGCAAATTAATTTCCAGGACTAGGGATTTTTTTTTTTTTTGGTGCCAGTTCTAGGGCTTCAACTTGAGGCCTCCTACTCTCATTTGGCGTTTTTACTCAAGGCTGGTGATCAACCACTTGAACCACACCTCTGCTTCTGGATTTTTGCTGGTTAAGTGGAGATAAGAGTTAAATGGATTTTTCTGCCTGGACTGGTTTTGAACCTCAATTGTCAGATTTCTGCCTCCTGAGCAGCTAGGATTACAGGCATAAGCCACCTATACTGGCTTAAGGGCTAGAGATTTTTATCTGACTGGTACAGCACTTATATAGTATGGGACAGGAATGAAAAGTTAGGGAAAAAGGGGGAGGGATGAAGAGTGGGGCTTCCGTGTGCTTCCACCTTTGATGGACCCAGGGCATTATCCAAACAGCTTTCCTACAGGAAATTTTAATTAGTGTGTTTAAAGTAGGCATGCTAGAGTTAATAGGATCACACTGAATGAGAGGTGGTCATAGTCTGACTGTGCAGTCTATGTAGGAGGTGGGGGTGTAGGTTATAGATATGTATAGTCTCCCTTAGGTAGATAGTCACCAGGCAGAAGCAGTTGGATGGACCATGTGAAGGACTAGGGGAGCATGGAGTTGGTGCTTCTCGCCTGAGAACAAGATGAATTCTTAGGTCACATAAGTGATAAGAATACACTGTAGCACCCCAGGCAGGGGTCAAGGGCCTTGTGCCCACAGTTAAGAACCTAGATTCTTTACTTCTGAGTGAATCTGCCATGATAGACTTCTGAGGTCAGTTCTAGCCCTCTCCCTGACTGCTTTCTAGTGAGTCCCTTCCAAGTTTTGGTTCCTGACTTAGCTGCTCAGACTTACTGCCTGGAGTTATGACCAGAATGTGCTTGATGTGCAGCAAGACACTCTATGAAGTGGCTGTGTGAAAGGCCATGCCCATGAGTGCTGACTTAGACTGTTGGAGATGGAAGGTGGGGGGGGTGGTTTCTGTGACTGACATGTTCCTCTCTCAATTACATCATTTGAGCTATTGCTGTTCTGTTCACCCACAGGTTGGGACAAACATTCTTATGGTTACCATGGTGATGACGGGCATTCCTTCTGCTCTTCTGGGACTGGCCAGCCATATGGTCCCACATTCACCACAGGAGATGTGATCGGCTGCTGTGTCAACCTCATCAATGGCACCTGCTTCTACACCAAGAATGGCCACAGTCTTGGTAGGTACATAGGAGACCTTGGAGGATCTGTCCTGTGGAACTACTTTAGTTGGTTCAAAGGCAGGCCTTGAAGTTAAACCAGTGTCACAGAGCCTCTGCTGAATTCTGGGGAACTACAGACATTTTTAGCCATTCAAACCCTTTTTTTAGGTGAGTGGAGTGTAATAGAGGAGAGCAGAGAGGGTAGCCATTGTTAATCTGTCTAGTCATCAGGTTTAATAAGCCTGGGTGTTGAGAGGGCAGCAGTACTCTGGTCATGATCCTGGCTTGCCTGTGGCACTTGTTAAGCCAGCATTAGATGAGAAGTGTGAGGATCCCATGTACATAGTTGACAGTAGTGGGTGCTTGCATTCCTATGCCCTGGCCCAGATGTGGCCAAGGTGCTGGTTGTTGTGGAGTAACAATGAGGGTTGCAGGACAGAAGGTGAAGACAGGAATCAGATGGAGACAGATCTCTGGCCTGTTCATGGTTCATGGGCAGCACCCTTGGCAGAATTACACTGAGGAAGTCTTTGAAATAAAGAGAGACAGGATGGAATAGAGAAAAGGCCAAAGGAAGGGACAGGTAGCCTGAAGTAACAGTAGCTATGGATGTAGAAAGTGGGGTCAAACACAATAAAGGTCCAGGAGCAGCCTGGCAAGGCTTAGTGACAGATCAGGTGTGCTTTCAAGAAGGAAAGGAGCTGGGTGCCAGTAGCTCATACCTGTAATCCTAGCTACTCAGAAGGCTGAGATCTGAGGATTGTAGTTCAAAGTGGGTTCAAAATGGGCAGAAGAGTCCCCGTGAGATTCTTATCTCCAATTAACCACTCAAAAAACCATAAGTGGGACTGGGAATATGGCTTAGTGGTAGAGTGCATGCCTAACATGCATGAAACCCTGGTTTGATTCCTCAGTACCACATAAACAGGAAAAGCTGGAAGTGGTGCTGTGGCTCAAATAGTAGAGTGCTAGCCTTGAGCAAAAGAAGCTCAGAGACAGTGCCCACTCTAAATTCAAGCCCCAGGACTGGCAAACAAACAAATGCAGAAGAGGATTTGTGGCTCAGTTGGTAGTACACTAGCCTTGAGCACAAAGAGGCTCAGGCCCTGAGTTCAAGCCCCATGACTGACCAAAAAAAAAAAAAAAAAAAAAGGAAAGGCAGTCTGGGCACTGGAGGCTCACGCCTATAATCCTAGCTACATAGGAGGCTGAGACCTGAGGATCGAAGTTCAAAACTAGCCCAGGCAGGAATGTCTGTAAGGTTCTTATCTTAGAAAACCAGAAGTGGTGCTATGGCTCAAAGTGGTAAAGCACTAGTCTTGAGCAAAAAGAGCTCAGGAACAGTACCCAGACCTCAAGTTCAAGCCCTTGACCGAGCCCCCCCCCCCCAAAAAAAAAAAAAAAAAAAGAAAGGTAAGAAGTGGCTGGACTAGTGGAACATAAACCAGAAGGAGTACAAGAGTATACCTATCAGCCTATGGAGAGGATGGGGCCTGAATGGTCCTTTGGAAGGCAGAACTATCTGTGCACATGTAGAAACTTAGCATTAGAACTTGAATGAGGGAGACTTTGACTCTTCTAATGCTTTGCCCTGGCAGGCACTGACTAGTATGTAGCCCCAAGGTAAATGCTTTAACTGTTGGGCTTGCCTGCCTAGCCTTGCAGGGGTCTCTGGTTTGACCATACCCCTAGAATGATATAACAAAAACAGGTGGCAGCACCCTGCCAGCTGTACCCTAAACTCTGCAGGAAAGAGCAAGGCATTTTCTTCCTCAGAGGTTTGTTTCTCCTGGTTTGGGGCAGTTGCACACCATAACTCAGAGCTGGCAGGAAAGGCCAGGGAGCTAGGTTGCTCAGAGTTTGGCTTGAACTCAGGGTTTTGCGCTCTCTAGCTTTTTGCTTAAAGCTGATATTAAAACACTTAGCCACACCTCCACTTCTGGCTTTTGCTGGTTAATTGGAGATAAGAGTCTCTTGGATTTGACTGCCCAAGTTGGCTTGAAACCACAGTTCTCAGATCTCAGCCTCCTGAGTAGCTAGGATTACAGGTGTGAGCCAAAAGTACCTGGCCATAACCTAAAATTTGATAAGAATGTTTGAGTATGTTTTTATAAAGGTATTGATAAAATTTCAGAAGGGGACAAGTCTAAGATTTGAGTTTGTTCAGGTAGACACCAGCCATTTATGAATCAGTTTTGTTGGCAGGAAACCTAAGTATGTGTGTAGGTTTTTTTTTTTTGTTTTAATTTTCATCTGGTCCACAAGGATATTATTGAGACTTTACTAAAAAATAGATACAGCGTATCCCCTGATCATGGAATGAAGCTGGAGTGGCAGATGCTTGCTGAATCTTCTCTTGTTCCTGTTTCCTTCTCATAAACCACCTTATCAATAATGTGCTTCATACTCTAAGCCTGTCCTCTTTCGAGAGGCAGGATGGCCTTTCTTGCCTCTGTCCTTCCTGCTCCCTTCCTCTGTCACAGTACTCGCTTTGTGTGCCATTACTCAGTTGTCTGTGTCACATGTCATCTCTTTCGCTGGATTTGGAAGCACTTTAAGGACCTCACTTGCAGCTGTTTCTCCAGTCCTATTTACAAGGCTGGCTACTGAGAGGCCTCAGCATATACTTAGAGGAGGAATGAATGAGTAAAGGGAGGCAGGAAACAAGTTGAGTTCACAGGTGGTTTGTGTGCTTTAAGCGTTATCACACAGCATTGTGCTCTTACAGGGGTCCTCCATTCTCAGCCTCTATATCTGACCTTTGACCATCTGGTCCAGGTCTCTCTCTTTGTTTTTTTTTGGTCAGTCGTGGGGCTTGAACTCAGTGCTTAGGCACTGTCCCTGAGCTCAAAGCTAGTTGAGCCACATCTCCACTTTTGGTTATCTGGTGGTTAATTGGAGATAAGAGTGTCATGGACTTTCCTGCTCCTACTGGCTTCAAACCCCAATCCTCAGATTTCAACCTCCTTAGTAGCTAGGATCACAGACATGAGCCATCACCACCCTGCCTTTTTTTTCCCTCCCTCCCTTTCTCAACAGGCTCTCCAAGTCCTGGCCCAGGGCTCTTCATGTCAGTAAATTTGACTAGCCTTTGTTCTTGAATCTTGATATAGTCATTCTTCTTGTGGGTCAACTTAGTTCTTGCTATTACAGTGGCCTTGCAAGGCTAACAGGGAAGGGAGCTGGAGGAACACTGCTGTGCAGTGGTATGAGGAGGGAGTTCTTTTCTTATCTTGGAAGTACCTCAAGGCCTTGTCTTTCCTGAGTGCCATGTGGCAGTGCTGGACAGGCCTTAATATTCATTTTCTGCCCAGAAGTGTGACAGTTGCTTCACCCTGTGGCCCAACCACAGCTAACCTGGACCTAGACCTTATGGTTTATGAAGCAGCTTTCACAGACTGCCTTGTGTTCTTTTTTCTTTCTTGAGGTGAAGGATTGGTGTTACCCCATTCTGCAGATGAACCCAGAGAAGTTGAGTAACTTACCAAAGGTTATACTACAAATAACTGATGGAGCTGGACTCCTTCCAGGGTTAAGTGAGCTTCCTCACTAAGCCCAGGAGTGAGCAAAATCCTGACCACTCTGAGATCGTTGAGGGCAGATTGGAGAGTTGCTGAGGGACTGCTGATCCTGCATGTGGGGTTCAGAAGTGACCTTGGGCAGTAAGGCCTTTGGGTTTATGATTTTCCCCCGTTAGGGAGCAGAGTAACTTAGCAAAAAAGTACATCATCTGTTTCTTGGTATTTCATCCATAAACGAGTATTAGAGGCAGTGTGCCTCTTCCAAGGCTTTTCTGAGAGAGCTATGGCCTTATCTGTTCTTTCTTGCTAGATTTCTGGTTCTTTTCTGGATGAAGGCTGGCCTGGAGGAGTAGACTGGGGATTTCCAGGGGGTCAGCCAATTGAAAACCTCTCAGGCTCAGGGGCTTATCAGAGATATAGACTTTATCTTAAAATTAAAGGGCTATGAGGTGTTGGCAGAGGCTCCCATAGCCCTGCCCTTACATTATTTCTCAGTTTGCCAAACATGAGCATTTTGATGTATATTCTGAGGCCCTACTTCTTCCACTGACAAATCCAGCTTACAGCTCCTTAACCATAAGGACATCTGGACATCCAGCTCCTTCTCCTGGCAGGAGATTTTTCAGGATACACAGGCCATTGTTGACTGGAGGGTGCCAACTTGGAGCCAGTGAGGAATGAGTGTGGTCTATATATACACTGTCTGTCTCTACTTCTCTATCAGCGTAGCCATGACACTGGAGCATCAAACTCACACTAGAAATTCATTCAGATCCACTACTTCTGGCAGCTCTGTGATTGTTGGCAGTTCATTTAACCTGAAGCTTACTTTCCTTGTCTGTAAATTGGGATAAGAATGCCTGATCCCCAGAATTGGTATGAGGTAATGGATGACAGAAAGTCTAGCACCACAATTGGTTTTTGCATAAACAGTGATTTGGTCAAGAGGAGCATCAGTCCTGAAGGGCCTGAAGAGGTAGATCTTTTCTTTTAGTCTTTTTTAGTACATTTTCCTTGAGAGATTAGGAGAGCTGTGGATAGTTAGCTAAGCATCTGACTTCCTCTTTGGGGCCTAAAACTGTCAGGCCAGGTACTTGGCCATTACACACCTGTAGTGGCAGAGAAGAGCAAGAGACTGGTCCTGTCTAGTGGCCTGATTACTGTTTCTTTCACCCCACAGGTATAGCCTTCACAGACCTACCGGTAAGTACCACCAGTGGGCCTGCCCCTTCCTGGGCTATTGGGGGCTGCCTGGGATGGGGTGTGGGAGTACCTGTAAGTGCACGGTGTGGAGTCTGACCCTTTCCTCAACCAGGGATGTGTGCTGTGCTGTCAGCTTGAGGGTACCAATGGGGGGTACCTGCTGGTCTTCCTCTCTCTCTCCAGCAGCAAGGCCTGGTCTTCCTCCACGACTCTTAGCAGGTGACAGAAATTTGTGGTATTTCCAAAAGCAGCTGTGGGGTGGGTAGGGTGGAAAGATGGTGGTGGAAGAGAGTAGCTCCATGGCTTAGCTGGCTGAGCCAGCTTCTTGTGGCTTACAGCCATGGGCTGGGTACAGAGGATAGGGAGCTATTTCTGAACTATTTAGGAAGCCATTTCTTGAATGTGACCATCAGAAATCCCTGGGGCAACCCAAGGCCCTCAGGGATCTCCATTGCCGTCATGCTGGGTCCCCCACAAAGTGAGAGAGAGAAGCCTTGTGAGGTTTCTCCTCTTTAAAAAGGATGGGGTTAGATTTGCCAGGGCTTATAAGTTTGGGGCTGTCTTTACCTCTTGTTGCCAGTACTTGACTATGAGTCACCAGGCACCATCTCATGCAGGGCCTCCACCCAGAATGCAGGGAGCCTGGCCTGACTGTATGTGCTCTGACTGGTTCTGGAAGGAAGGAAGGTTCACTGACTATGTTGGCTGCTGTGAGATCCTGGATACCCCATAATGCTCTAGGGAACATCCTTGTGATCTGAGGGAATCACAACCTATTACAGCATCCAGGGTCATGTTCAGATCTCCTGTGTATGGATTGGAATCCCTCTCATCCACCTGAAGACCCTAGAAGGGACCTAGACAAAGAAAGAAGGGTTAAGGGCTGGGAAGGTGGCTCAGTGGTAGAGTGCTTGCCTTGCATGCATGAGGCCCTGGGTTCAATTCCTCAGCACCACAAAAGAAAAAAGCCGGAAGTGGCGCTGTGGCTCAAGTGGTAGAGCGCTAGCCTTGAGCTGAAGAGCTGAGGGACAGCGCCCAGGCCCAGAGTTCAAGCCCCACAACTGGGCCCAAAAAAAGAAAGAAAGAAGGGTTAAGATAATTCTGACCCTGGTTGGGGAAGAATCTAGGTGTGGAGACATGACATGAAATGACTGGACATAAGTGAAAGCCGTATGCTGCCAAGTTCTAGAAAGTATAGGAAATTACTGTCCCTGTGGGCAGTGATGGGTCAGAGAATATTGCTGGAGGTGGTGGGCTTTGCCTGTGGTATAGAGGATGAGAGGGAAAGAAAGAAAGGAGAGCTCATAGAGGGTTGAATGAACCCAGCCTGCCAAGAAAAGGTACATGGTACTCATGAATGACATATGGTCTAAGAATGGGAAGGAAAGAGTAGACTGGGAGACCCCGGAAAGATAAGGTACAGTGACTTGGAGAAGGCAGATGAGGCTCTAGGCAGTGGTGATGGGAGTCACAGGAGGCACAAAGTAGAGTGACCTGGCAGATACTGCTCATGGTAGGGGAGAAAGTGTGGGGAGCCCTCATTTCATTGGCTGAGTGATCCCATCACTGGAAAGGCAAGAGTTTCTCACTTCCCCTTTGCCAGCCTAGTACCTCTCACCTAATCCTTTGTCTGCTCTTTTCTTCCCTCCTCTTTTGTTTCAATTCTGACCCTTCTTTCCCCCCTTCATGTAGCTCATTTTTTTTGTATGTGTGTGGCCAACGAGTCCTTATCCCTGGATATTTCTGAGAGGAGCCATCATACATCCCTGCAGCTCACTTTCATGGACATGTCTGCAGGGTTGCTGTCTTAGATAAGTTCTAGAAGGGACTATTGGGCCGTGGGTACACAGTGGCCTCTGATGCAAAGCAGGAGACTTCATATTGAGCCTTGCTTGCTTTTCTTTTGCTTTCTCCCTTTAAACTTTGGGGTATAGTATCTGATAGGGAGGTGGGCCAAATGTAGCTTAGCTCTACCACCTCCTGTTTGGCAACTTTCTTCTAGCACTAGTGTTGGCTGGCAGGAGCCATGGAGGTAAAACAAGGCCCTGCTGCCCCTCAGGGCCTGACTGACATTCATTCTCCTCCTCAGGCCAACCTCTACCCCACCGTAGGCCTCCAGACACCTGGGGAGATTGTGGATGCCAACTTTGGGCAGCAGCCCTTCCTGTTCGACATTGAGGACTACATGCGGGAGTGGCGTGCTAAGGTCCAGGGCACCGTCCACGGCTTCCCTATCAGCGCCCGGCTGGGTGAATGGCAGGCGGTGCTGCAGAAGTGAGTGTCAATCTCCCCCATCTGATGCTCGTGTAGGTTGCTTTTAGGAATTCTGTAGAGGACTGTGCTTCCTGGAAGCATTCCTAGGTGATTCAATGTTGCCTGCTTCCTTCTCAACGTGAGCTGCTGCTGGTTAAGCATTTGCCCCTCAGCCAGTGTTTGGAAGGCTTCTGTGTTTAACAGCAGCAACTGTGTTCCTCCCAGGCCTTTTTTTGTGTGTGTGCTAGTCCTAGGGCTTGAACTCAGGGCCTGAACTCTTCTGGCTTTTTCTGAGTAGTTTATTGGAGATATGAGTCACAGTGTTTCTTGCCTGGGCTGGCTTCAAACTGCTATCTTCAGATCTCAACCTCCTGAATATCTAGGATTACAGAAATAGCCACCAGTACCCAGCTGTCTCTCTCAGGTCATTTTGCAGAGGATGTTGTAGAACCCCTTGTGGTCTATTCCTCTGTGGATGCTATTTTCCACCATAGGAAGTATCTACTCACTCTGGCCTGAGGAAGTCATACCTGTGGTCAGACCACAGGTTAGTATTCTGGTAAGTCTTATGCATCCACATCAGTGGTGGCAAGAGGAGAGTTCCCTCAGACCAGCCTTGCCAGCTCCTTGACTGATTAATTCCAGACTGTCCTGGAAGCTAGCATTACTGAGACTCCCATGGAGGCCAGGTTTGAGGTTTTTCTTCAAGTGGCCAGCTGCAGTCCTAAGTGAGACAATGACCAGTACCCACTCTGCTAGGAAAGGGGGTGTTAACTTGGCTCCCGAGGGTGCGAAGGGCTTGGCTAGCCCTCATCCTTGCCCTGTAGAGATACCGGGGTGCCAGGGTCCCTTGTGTGAGATTGGGATGTATCCTGGGTTCTTTACGAAACTTTCCTTTTCTTGAGAAATTGTTATTAAGGCAACCCTGACTGAGGGCTAAGGCACAGGTAGATGGCCAGGCAGCCCAGGCACCTCTGGTTCTCAGCCCTCAGTACAGATGAGAAATGTTTCTTCCCATGATCAGGATAGCACTACTTCCCATAGCAGGCTTGTGAGGAGGAGTGATGGAGCTACCTGGCCCCCATGTACGAGGGACATACACCTTTAGATTTCAGGGTGCAGGTTCAGCACATGGATGTTTTTGTTTCTGTGTGTATCCATGTGCCTATATGTGTTCCTAGGCAGTATTTACCAAAACTTGTATATAATTTGTGTTTTGTGGTTTCACATCGCTTTATTTAATAAATACTGGAAATGATTAGGTTTTTAGGAGACAAATTTGCCACAAGCTCTTTGGCTAGCTTCCTCTGTTTGATATTTCCTTTTTCTCATTCTTTGTTTTTAATTTTTTTAATTTTGTGGTGCTGAGGATAGAACTCAGGGCCTCACACATGCTAGACAAGCACTGTACCACTGACCCACATCCCCAATCCCTGCTTGCTTGCTTGCTTTCTTTCTTCCTTTCTTTCTCTCCCTCCCCTCCTTATAGGTGACCCTTTCTTACATAAAAAATTTCTCTAAGTAGAATTATTTTCATGATGACCTTTTAAGAAGTGGAATTCTTGGGACCGGGAAACTGCATTTTAGAGGCATCTAATGTTCAGCTGAACCATGTTTCTGTCAAAAAATTTCCCTTGTGTTTATAATAATAATAGTTATAATGATTACTCAGTATACTATTATGTAGTATAATTTCATAATAAAAGATTTTGTTTATGGACTTTATGGCAGACGCTTTATTAGTATTTTCTCATTTACCCTTTAAAATATGAAGAGAAACATAGACAAACATCTAGGCCTTCCACAGCAGCCCTTGAAGCGTTTGTGTTGAAAATGGCATCAGGCACATACATACCTAGTATTTACTCCTATTTTGTGGTGGTGGTGGTGGTGGTGGGGCTTGAACTCAGGGCCTGGGTGCTGTCCCTGAGCCTCTCTGTGCTCAAGGCCAGCCCTCTACCACTTTGAGACAGCTCCACTTCTCGTTTTTGTGGTGGGAGTTTCACAGACTTTCCTGCCCGGGCTAGCTCTGAACCACAATCCTCAGATCTCAGCCTCCTGAGTAGCTAGGATTATAGCTGTGAGCCACTAGCACCTGGCATATTTATGTCTGTTTACATCAGGCATGATGACTCATCTTTCTGCTCTCCACACATACATATACTCTCATATGCATGCACACATATACCACTGCTCAGACAGCTTCAGGTGGCATTGAATACCTACTGGACATGAAGCCCTTTTCCCAAAGATTGTGTTCCTGTTAGTCCTGCTGGTGTTTGTCCTTTTACAGCAAGATCACCCTGATATCTTCCCTTCTTGGGCCCTCCCTCTGTGGCGTATCACGGAATAGCTTTGGTTCATGAATTAGCTGCCATCACTGTAGACCCAGTTCTACAAAAGGGCAGGATCCCTGGAGTATGGGCAGTCCTAGAGGAGCTCCTGTGTGTTTGGCAGGTATGCATGCACCAGGCATGCTCTGTGTCTGGCAAGCTGCCATATACTTCTTGGCTGGTTGTCATTTCAGGAAGCCTTGGGTGAAACAATTGGCCGGCTCTAGGCTTGCTAGCATTTACCAGAAGACAGTTGCTCCTATGAGGTTTGGGGGCATCGTGTCCCAGAGAACTGCAGACATTCCTCCAGCCTGTGAGCACAGATGTGACCAACCCCTTTCCCTGCCTTATTGGCATGAGAACTGAGGCAAATTTTCATTTTGTTCCAGTCTTTTCAGTTCTGTGGGTATTATAACCTCCAAGATGTGTTTAGGGAAAACTGCATAGGGAAGTAGTCTGTTTCACCAAGAGGTCATGAGAAATATGGTTCTTGAGTGTCACCTCAAGCTCTTCCTTTCTTCTAGCATGGTCTCGTCTTACCTGGTGCATCATGGGTATTGTGCCACGGCCACGGCTTTTGCCCGAATGACTGAAACCCCGATTCAGGAAGAACAGGCGTCCATAAAGAACAGACAAAGTAAGGTTAATTCTCCACTACCCTTCTCTTTCACCTGTCCTTGATTCTAATCTCTGACTCATGCCAGCCCTGGTTAACATGTCAGGAGTCCAGTCCTCACCACTCTGGAGACTAGCCCAAGGCTAGTCCCAGACCCTGCTTTTGTTCCTCCTTCCAGACAGCACTGCCCACGTGAACAGCTAGAGGAAGGTGTCAGAGCAGCCTCATTAACCTCCACTCTGAAAGCCAGGTAGGGGTCTGGTCCTGGCACGGCTAGATCCTGTTCCTCTATGCCTGCTTCCTCCCTTCTGAGACCTGGATTCTACTCAGTCTCCTATTCATGGTCTTCCAGTAAGAGTGTTTGCATCTTGTGATACTCATATCCTATCTTTCCAACTATTTATTCAACCTTGGAAGTTCTGCTTATTCCTAGCCAAAGAGGACTTAATGGTCAGATAGAGCAAAGCTGATGCTCAGTGAAGGTGACTCTCTTTTCTTCCTGCCCCCCCTGGTCCTGCCATTTGCAGACAGCCTAGTTCTTTTTGGCCCAAACCAGCTTTCCTAGTATTCATATTGCCTGTGTACTGTGTGTTTGGTGCCCCATTACTAAGGGAAGTGTTGGCCAGATATCAGAGCCTGTACAGGAGATGATAGGAAGAAGAAAGACAAGATGATGTGAGTAAGTGGGTGTTTATGGACATGTGTGTCTGAGTGCCTGACTGTGTGTCTCTCAAAGACTACTGTCTCTTTATATGTGCATGTGTCTGTGTCTCCCAGAAAAACTGTGCTCAGCCAGACAGGTGGAAAGGGATCCCAGACTTGGGATCTATGGATGAAAGAGCCTCAGACCTAGAAGTCACTCCCAGTAAGATTCAGCAGGTCCTAGCACAAAACTGAGAGGGAATTATTAAGATGCTTGTGGCCCAGGAGGTGTTATCATCAGCGATGCCAGTGTACGGATGACCTCCTCTCCCAGCAAGGGAGCATGCTGCAGCCCCTATAGATTGCCAGTGCAAGAGCCCTGGTCTAAATCAATGCACTCCCCTTGCTGCTCCCCTTCAGGACCTGGAGAAAAAGGAGTGTTTGCAGAGAAGCCTTAGATCACTAGCTTCCTGGGTGTCTGTGTGAAGATCATGCTGCCACAGCCAGGGTTTTCCCTTCAGTTCTGTCCCACAGGAATGAGCCTCCAAATTCCCTTTCTGTCTCTGGGCTGCAAGGTCCCTTCATTTTCCTCTCTTTTTCTTTTCTTTTCTTTTTTTAAATTTATTGTGAAAATACCGTACAGAGGGATTACAACTACATGGGCAAGGTAATAAGTACATTTCTTATCAAGCATTGTTGCCTCCTCCTTTGTTTCCCCTTCCCATCTCCGCTCCTCCCCTCCCCACCACCACCACCTTCCTCTCTTTTTCTTGAGGACTCCTTGACACTTGGCAGAAACCATGCCCTGCTGTGGGCTTGAGCTGCCAGGTTCTCTCTTTAGCCTCTTCTGTGAGCATCTTCAGGCAGCAGGACACTCTGAACTATCTCACATGACTCTTGGCTGGCTTCTACCCTGTGGCTTGCCATGTCCCATATATATCTGGCTATGAAGAAGATCTATGGTCCTCACTTATGGCTGTTTTTGCTCTCTGCAGAGATCCAGAAGCTGGTGCTGGAGGGCCGGGTGGGTGAAGCCATTGAGACAACCCAGCACTTCTACCCTGGGCTGCTGGAGCACAACCCTAACCTGCTCTTCATGCTCAAGTAAGTTGGGTTTGTCAGTCCCACAGCCCAGCCCCTCTGCTGGTGGCAGGAACCTATATCCCAGGCCAGGCCCAGAGCTTCGCTGCTCTGCTCCCTCCACAGGTGCCGACAATTTGTGGAGATGGTGAATGGCACCGACAGTGAGGTCCGCAGCTTGAGCTCCCGAAGCCCCAAGTCCCAAGACAGCTATCCTGGCTCCCCCAGCCTCAGCCCCCGACATGGCCCCAGTAGTTCCCACATGCATAACACAGGTCAGCCACTCCCCAGAGGGCTCTGGGAAGAGCTGGTGTGGAGAAGAATGGCCACCCTACATGCCCTTCCCTACAGTGGGCTCAGGGCCGGCTGCTGGATTGGGGGGAAGGGAAAGGGACCACTGTGGCAACCCCTGGGTCCCGCTTGATGGCAAGCTGCCCCTCCTCCTCTGACCATCCCCGGCTTCTAGGAGCAGACAGTCCCAGCTGCAGCAATGGCGTCGCATCCACCAAGAGCAAACAGAACCACAGTAAATACCCCGCACCCAGCTCCTCCTCCTCGTCCTCGTCCTCCTCGTCCTCCTCCTCCCCGTCCTCCGTCAATTACTCCGAGTCCAACTCAACAGACTCTACCAAGTCCCAGCCCCACAGCAGTACCAGTAACCAGGAGACCAGGTGCCTGTCTTGCTACGCTTCCTCCACTCTGCTTCTGCTCTGCACCTGTTGGGTCCACTGCAGTCTGTCCTTCAAGTGCTGTCCCCTGCACTTCACTTCTACCTCTATCATAGGTCTATGCCTGAAGTGCTAGCTGTGGTCAATTTTCTTGGCCCTGGCTTTCTTTGGAGGTGCTGACCCTGCCTGACTGTGGTTTCCTCTACGGGGACTTGGCTTCCAAAGAGGCTGGCCCTGCTATGGTATTTTATGAAGGAGCTATTATAGGATCTGGCTCCTGAGCAACCAGTCTGCAGACAGGGGATCTGAGCTGCAAACTACAGCTCCAGGTGGCTTGTATAGGTTCTCTGCATGTTCTAAGTTTTCTGAATTTGGCTCTCAACCAAGGCCACAGAGATGCCCAAGAGGCCCATGGTACTTAGTCATTAGGAATAACAGGGATATGTAGAAGAGACATGTCAGCTCACAGGAGAGCCAGGAAGAAAAAAATCACAGGAGCAACTGTAGAAGAATGGGAACCAGGTGACAATCCTCTGGAGATAGCTGTAGTAGGTGCCAAGTCCCTTGGAGCCTGGGAAGCTTGGTCTTTTCTTTCATGCTCCTGGCAGCCCCTGTTTATCTGCAGTCACCATAGCTAAAGACTAAATAGAGGCCCAGCCAGGCTGTTCCAACAACATCCCCTTGGCCAATTCCCCATTCTCACTTCATTTCTTCACAGTGATAGCGAAATGGAGATGGAAGCAGAACATTATCCCAATGGCATGCTGGAAACCATGTCCACACGCATTGTCAATGGTGCCTACAAACATGAGGACCTGCAGACAGATGAGTCTAGCATGGGTAAGTAAGGGCTGTGCCCCAGCATGACCCGCCTGATTGATGGCTGCTGAGAGGGCAATACACCGTGCCTCTGAAGGGACTGGGATGGAAGCGTTAAGCAGCTTTAGAAGCTCTAGTCAGACTAGGTCTACTCCTTTCTTAGCCATTCATGGACGTGTTCCTGAAGTAGCTTCAAATGTGTAGTAAGACTCAGGCCTGCTGCCAAGAAACCAGAAGCCCTATGTTTGAGGCTGGAGAGAATTTGATGAGCACTGTACATCTGTGCAGGGTGGGAAGAGAGCAGCTTCCAGGTCCTGTCTGACCCCTGGCCTGTGTGCTAGGTACACTTGAAAGCACCTGTGCTCTGGCTGCTCCCCTTATTCTCTGAGCCCTTGTCTGCCAGAAGTTACAGCTTCTTACGTCTTCCTAACTTTCTCTTCTCTTTCTTCCTATTGTGTTCTCTGCTGGCCTCTGGGTACAGATGATGGACATCCACGACGGCAGCTCTGCGGGGGCAACCAGGCTGCCACAGAGAGGATCATCCTGTTTGGCCGTGAGTTGCAAGCACTAAGTGAGCAGCTGGGCCGAGAGTATGGCAAGAATTTGGCCCACACAGAAATGTTACAGGTATAGAATGAGTCAGGCCCTCAACACAATGAGCAGGACCTCACTTGATTCTGGGGACCAGATGGCTTTGGCATATCCAGGGGCAGCAGCAATAGGGCGGAGTGGGCTCTATCAGGTCTTTTTTGTTGTTGTTGTTGTTCATGGGGCTTGAACTGTGGGCCTGGGCACTGTCCCTGAGCTCTTTAGCTCCAGGCAAGCACTCTACCACTTGAGCCACAGCGACACTTCTGGTTTTCTGGTGGTTAATTGGAGATAAGAGTCTCATGGACTTTCCTGCTTGGGTTGGCTTTGAACTCCTCAGATCTCAACCTCCTGAGTAACTAGGATTATAGGCATGAGCCACCTGCACCTGGCTGTGTCAGATCTTTAGTGGAAAGTGGGCGTCTGTGGTCTAGTAAGGGTGCAACCCTGCAGCCTACAGCCAGGTGTGTTGTTCTATCCCTAGGCATTATGTTCTGTCCCCTCTAGAGGCATAGAGTACGTTTAATATGTGCCACCTCTTAAGGGTGCTTTGTTCCTTAGGATGCCTTCAGCCTACTGGCATACTCAGATCCCTGGAGCTGCCCAGTTGGCCAGCAGCTTGACCCCATCCAGAGGGAACCTGTATGCGCTGCTCTCAACAGCGCCATTTTAGGTGAGTACATCTAACCAAAGCAGATACTGACACATGAGTGTCTAAGAGGCCCCTCCTTGCTCTCCCTGCAAAGAACAGTGAGATTGGCCCAGACCATCTCTGATGACTCACAGGGTTTCTGAGTTTCCAGGCCAAGCCTAAATCCTGACCTTTCCCAACTGAGTTTGCTGCTAGATTATGACCATAAGAGAAAGCCAAGGTCCTCAGGTTGCTGTCAGGTACAGAGCCTACAGGGCCGTGGCCTGGTGGCTAGGATACTCACAAGAATTCTATTTCCCCATTCCACCTATAAGGAACTTAGACCTGGCTCCAAACCCTGATTAGGGCAGTAACTGATCCCTATATCTCCTCCACAGAGTCTCAGAACCTGCCAAAGCAGCCTCCTCTGATGCTCGCCCTGGGCCAGGCATCTGAATGTCTACGGCTCATGGCCCGAGCGGGCCTGGGATCTTGCTCCTTTGCCAGAGTTGATGACTACTTGCACTAGCTGACCATACTACTGGCTGGCCCACCTGGCCCTCCTTCGGCTCCCAGGCTGGAGCAGCCCTGCCCTCCATATGCACCTGGCACAGGGACCTGGAAGCCATGGAAAGAGTCCATTCCTCCTGCCCAGCCTGCCTGCCCATCTTCCCTCCCTCCCTCTTTTCCTTCCTTCCTTCCTTCCTTCCTTCCTTCCTTCCTTCCTTCCTTCCCTCTTTCTTTCCTCCTCTTGCTCCCTCTCTCTTTTCCTTACTCTCTTTTCCCTTTATGTGCAGAGGCCTGTGACACAGTATTGGCTGGTTACTCATGTAGCGCCTTCTCTTTTAAAGGAGCTTTTATTTTGAGGAGGGGTTGGGGTTTTTTAATCTTTTTTCCTCCTGACTGAGCCACCAGTGTTTATCTCGGGAGAATTTGTGCTGAGCTGGTTTCTGCTAATTTAGTGATAAAACCTATCCAGGTTGGTGATAGCTTATTATTTTCATAAGTAAAAAAAGGAAAAAAAATAAATGAGATTATATATATATATAAATATATATATATTAAAAAAAGAGAGAGAGAGACACAGTATTTATCGTAGCATTAGTGGTCCAGCACCTCTTGGGTGAGGCTGTCCAGACACTATGTGTTTTTATTTTAATCCAACTCATTAAAAAAAAATATCATCTCTGTCACCTCAGCAAAGTGATTTATTTTAGGCTCCCTCTTTGTTGAGCCACAGGCCCAGCTGCCACACAGAGAAATTGCATTGACATTTGGGGTAGGGCAGGGGACTTGGTAGGCAGGATCAGGCTAAGTTGCTTTGCAGCATCTCAGGAGATATTGGATATCCCTAAGTATGAGTGTTCCTAGGTCCCTGAGAGTTGGACTAAGCAGAGAGCTGCAAGGCCAGAAATCCAAAGAAGTGCTAAATTGGCCCAGGGCCATACAGCAAAGCAAGGAAGCAGAGGGTCCTTGGCCAGCACACTGTCTACCACTCTACCCTGCCTCTCACTGCCTGCCTTGTTCCTCTTCTCTTCTCAATGTCCTGCCTTCACTTGTTATTAAGGTGGCCAAATAATTCATTTCTTCTCGATTGATTTCCTGAAAACTACCTGCCTTCAGACCAAGAGCTGCTGAGTGCCAGCCGCTAGGAGGAGCACTCATTCCCAGGAGAGAGGCTCTTGAGGACAGGGACTGCTCTCTTCCTGCTTGGGTCTTTTAACAGTCGCTGCACAGCTCTGATGGGATTGATGATGGTACCTCATGGAAGCAGATGCTGGTCCCTGGAGTAGATGTAACTTGACTGTGTACCTGGTTTTCTGCAGCTGTGCCAGGCTACTGTTTGCAGATTGGCCCAAGCCATTGTAGGGAAGAGGAAGGGACCGCCGCCACGCCACCCCCCCACCCCCCCATGAGCTTTACAAATGTCTTACCAGTTGTTTCAGATGATCCTTTCCAGCTGTTAGGCAAAAGTCCTGCTACCACTGGAAGGGCTGAGATGCTGCCAGGACTTGAGTGGCCATCTGTGGAGAAGACTGGCTGTCCAGGAGGAGAAACAAGGAGAGTCCTACACAGAGGAGCACCTGGAGGGGCTGGGATTACCATACCTGCTTCACAGTGTGGAGGACAGCCCACAAGTAGTTCTATAATGATTAGGGTCAGCCATGCAAAGCCAGAAGTTGAACTTAGAATTTCTGGACCTGGGCTGGTTGAGCATCTGCTCTGTAAGTGGACATGGGAGTGCCTGGTAAGGCCTAAGATACTTCCTCCCTACCAAGCCCACAGCTGGACAAAAACCAAACAATTTAGGTGAATCAGCTGCTGATGAGAAACCAGGACTCTGGCAGAGATCTTCCAGAGTTTTGTCTTGGAGGATCATCCTATAGGCTATTTCTCTTTCTTAATCCTTGCCAGGGCTCCATCTGTCAGTCCATAAATCATGACCCATCAGGAGATGGGAAATTCATTGTGGAAAAACAAGCTGCAGTCTCAGAGATTGGAAACATCAGGCTGTTAAAATGGTCAGCCTGGGGGGCTGGAGGTACGGCTCACGTAATGAGGTCCTGTGTTTAAACTCCAGTTACCCACACACACACACACAAAATAATCAGCCTGAGTCAGGTGCTGAAGGTTCACACCTATAATCCTAGCTACTTAAAGGCTAAAATCTGAGGATCAAGGTTTGAAGCCAGCCTGGGCAGGAAAGTCCATGAGACTTATCTACAATTAACCCTCACACCACCACCACCAAAAAAAAAAACCACCCCAAATTGGAGGTATGGCTCAAGTGGTAGTGCTAGCCTTGAGCAAAAAAGCTCGGGAACAGCACCCAGGTCTTGAGTTCAAGTTCCAGGATTATGTGCCCCCCCACCCCCACCTCCACACACATACACAAAGCCTAGCAGGATTGAGAGGTAAATCCAGAGGCATTTGCAATTACAGGAGTTTAAACAACATCTCCAATAATCTCTTACAAATAAGGGATCCAGGAGAATAAATGACTTGTCTGAAGTCACACAGCAAATTAGTAGCTACATACAGGCAAAATAAGGACTAACCTTATTCCTAGTCCTGAGGCAAAATAACATATGAGCCCTGTAAAGGGGTCAGGTTGGCATGGCTTCCAGTGGTGCCTGGTACTGGTACCTTCATGAGTGTGTCAGGGATGGGGCTAGATGCCTTGACTTGAGTTGTGGAGTAGCTAAGAAAGGGCCCTGGAGGGCTCGGGACAGCTGTGTGCTGCATAGGGTTGGCTTGCACTCAGTACCCATGCCACCTCCCCGTTTTCTGTGCCTTATCTCACTGTTTCAGCTGAATTCAAGTTGTTTACTCTGTTCCTCTCTGGAGGGGCTCCCTGTCCCAGTTGGATAACTCACCTTTGGGACATAAGCCTTTGCCCCCACAAGCCATGGAGAGGTCAAAACCAAGCTGCTTGAGCTGGCTGTCTTTGCTGATAGTCCAGGCCCACCTGCAGGTAGAGGAGCCCCTTATGCACACCCAGACCGATCAGCCTATCAGCTTCAGGAGCCCTGAGAGCACCTCAGAACAGCTCTGGTGAAAGGCTGGACCTAATCTATGGGGGCAGGAGGAAGACCTGGCACTGTTCAGTTATCCAGACCTAGGGGTGCAGCCTTCCCTACTCACCTTGCCTGTGGCACCAGATAGTTGCTCTCTCAAGAGTAGAAACTGGCAGACCACTCAAAGAAAGTCAAAACTCCCAATCCCTACCCACATGGGTCTGAGGCTGTGTGTAGGCCATCAGAACAGGGATACTACACGTGGAGTGGGGACTACCTAGCCACCCAGCACCTTCCCAGCCCTTAAGCAAGCACAAAGAAGTTGAGACAGAGGACTGTTGGAGCTGAAAGGTTCCTTTGGTTGCTCACAACTCAGGTATGCACATAGTGTGGCAGCTGGACACCAGAGCCCTACTTGACCGCCAGGCACCTGGACCAATGGCCAGATGGTGGTTTCTGGCTGCCCAAGTACCCCGCTCCCTTGCAAAAGATTTCCTCCCATTATTAACTACAGCTGAAACAGACATCCTTCACATTGGGCACACTGCTTCTGCCTTTGTCCTCGCTAGTTGGTATCTGGCATTAGCATGCAACTTAAGGGTTTGGGAGGGTCGAGAGAATTCTAACACAAAACATCCTATTAAAATTGTACTTGAGATGAGAAAAACTCCTGTTGTATTTTGACAGAATTATTTTTATTAAAATACACATCCATGAGCAGTCATGACTGTCTCGTCTCTGTTTCAAGCCTTCTTGGAGGTTGGTGTGCTTTGTGTTGACACATCCCATTCCAGAGAAATCAGGCCCTCAACTCGGCTCTAGAGTGCTCAGGCCCTGGTGCCTCTTAAGTACCTTTGAAACTTCCGTGTTTGCAAGAGCCCAAATTGGATAGGCACTGCAGCTACAGTTCTGTTCCTTGAAACAGCTTTCATATTAGACAAGGAAAACAGCAAATTCAGCCTCAAAAAGGTGAGCCACAGAATTTCCCATAAAAGTAAGATTTTTAAGAATGTAGTTATTTCTCAGTGTCTCCAGGGAAATGGTTCCAGGAAACCTCCTCCCATGTTCAAGTCCCTTATATACAAAATAGTATGCTTCTATATACCTACAGACATCCTTTTATATACCGTTATCTCTATTATTCCCAGTACCTGAAAAATGCTTTGTAAATAGTTATCCTATTGTTTAGGACAAGAAAAAGTTATGTTTGGCAGTTTTTTTCTCTTCTCGTGTGTGTGTGTGTGTGTGTGTGTGCGTGTGCGTGTGTGCGCGTGCGTGTGCGTGTGTGTGTGTGTGTGTTACACCAATCTGGGCGTTAGCTAGGTGACCTCTTGGTTGAGATGTAGCTCAATGGTAAGGTATTAGGCCCTGAGTTCAATCCTCAGCACTGAAGGAAAAGAATGAAAAAGACCTCTCTCAGTTTGTTTCCCATCCTTTCAATGTAGCTTATTTGTCTATCCTGTGGAGGTAAGGGATGATTCAAGCATTGAGAGGTACTTGGAACTTAGAAACAAAATACATGTGAGCATTCTTTCTTCATGATGTTCTCTGGTATGACTAATTCTGCCCCTCCTGGCCACATAAAACCAAGGATTTAGCCAGGCACTGATGGCTCATGCCTGCAATCCTAGCTACTTAGGGGGCTGAGATCTGAAGATCATGGTTTAAAGCCAGCCCAGGTAGGAAGGAAAGTCTATGAGACTCTTATCTCCAGAAAACTGGAAGTGGTGCTGTGGCTTACCGTGGTGGAGGGTTGACCTTGAGCAAAAAGCTCAGGGACAACAGCAAGGCCCTGAGTTCAAGCCCCACAACAGACAAAAAAAAAAGTTTTTGTGCATAGGAGAGATAAAAGTCCATTGTGCTGGTGTCTACCCAAAGGTGAGACTAGAAACAGATTGGATGCAAACTAAGTAGTAGGGGGCTGGGATGTAGCTCAGTGGCAAAGCGCTTGCCTAGCAAGCGCAACGTCCTGGGTTCGATCCCCAGTACCAAAAAAGAAAAGACAAAAAAAAAAAACTAAGTAGTAGGGTGCTACTATAGTAGGCCACAAATAATAAGGCAAGTTAAATAAGAAAAACATTTTGGGGTGCCGCGCCCCCCGGGGGGATAAGATTTCAACAGACCTTGCCAAAATGCCATCTCAAATGGAACACGCCATGGAAACCATCATGTTTATATTTCACAGATATGCAGGGGATAAAGGCTACTTAGTAAAGGAAGACCTGAGAGTACTCATGGATAAGGAGTTTTTGGAAAACCAAAAAGATCCTCTGGTTGTGGACAAAATAATGAAGGACCTGGATCAGTGCCGAGATGGCAAAGTGGGCTTCCAGAGCTTCTTTTCACTAATTGCAGGCCTCACCATTGCATGCAATGACTACTTCGTAGTACACATGAAGCAGAAGGGAAAGAATAGATAGAATCCAGCACTTATTTCTGCCCACTGCATAAGAGTTCTGAAGGGTCATGTAAGGGATCTACCCACAAAAGATTTTGTTTTTTGTTTTGGGTCCGGTTGTGGGGCCTGAACTCTGGGCCTGGGCGCTGTCCCTCAGCTCTTCAGTTCAAGGCAAGCACTCTACCATTTGAGCCACAGCGCCACTTCCTGCTTTTTTTTTTTTCGGCTTACATGGTGCTGAGGAATCAAACCCAGGGCCTCATGCATGCAAGGCAAGCGCTCTACCACTGAGCCACCTTCCCAGCCGGTCTACCCACAAAAGATTTTATGACAGATGAGGACCTTTAGGAAAAAGTACAAATAGCATCCAACTCCCATTTGATAAGCAGAGAACGGAACGTTAATTAAATGCCAAAGAAAGTCTTTTTTTTTATTCAAAAAAAATTTTGGCTCAAGGAATGTGACAATACTGAAGGAGGTGAGAGAAGAGACAAAGCAAACAGGCTTTGGTTGGAGTGAGTGACAGGATGCATAATGATGGCACAAAATGATACACAGAAGAAGCAGGTGGGGCTGGGAATGTGGCTTAGTGGTAGAGTGCATGAAGCCCTGGGTTCAATTCCTCAGCACCACATAAGCAGAGAAGGCTGGAAGTGGGAGTGTGCCTCAAATGATAGAGTGCTAGCCTTGAAGAGATTAGGGACAATGCCAGGTCCTGAGTTCAAGCCCCAGGGCTGGCCAAAAAAGAAAAGAAAAAGAAAGCAGCAGATGGTAGCTAAAAGTTACTGGGGTAGAGATGTTTGTTGAAGGACAGCATGTAGGATCATATCTCAAAGAGACCTGTAAATCAGGAAAACTATGTCTTGGATGTTTATAGTAAACATCACTAGCTATTTGAAAATTCTGAACATCCTGTGTTAATGTGTTGCTTAACTACACTGATTTTTCTAAACTTTCATTACTACAGAATTTCACTTAGTAGCATCTTACAGAACTTTTTTTCTCCAGTCCTGGGATTTGAACCAAGGACCTTATACCTATAGTGTTCTACTTCTGATCTGTAGTCACTTTACCCCTTACAAATCTCTTGAGAACTAGTGTAAAGAGTAAGGTATCATAGAGGAAGAACTAGAAATCCAGAAGCATGATTTTTAAATAACCTGTCTTTATTTTTGATGTTAAACAGTAAACAGTAGTGACCAAGAACTCAGTGATTACACACGCTATACTGGAGAGATTTCATTTTTAATTCATCTTTATGAAGATTTAGAACTCATTCCTTGTGTTTAAAGGGAATGTTTAATTGAGAAATAAACATTTGTGCATAAAATGCTAAAAAGAAAAAAAAAAGAGTAGGGTATAAGATTAAGCACAGTAGTCCTGGAATAGGCTCATTTCCTCCAGACTAGTGGAATCATTTTGCCTTTGACCCTGTCAAGGAACATTGGGCAATCAGAGATATCCTTGATAATCATAGCTGAGGTTGGAGTTGCTGCCGGCATTTCAAGGCCACAGTGATGATGCTAAATATCCGGTAGTGTTTTCTCTACCCATGCCTCAAAAAAGAATGATCAGATCCCAAATGTCAATATGGCTGCTTCTGAGAAATCCTGATTTGGAAGTGTTGACAATGACCAGAAGTTATTAAACACAGCACACTGACTCTGCTTTTTTTTTTGGGGGGGGGGGTGGGGGAGGGTGGGGATTACAGGCCTGAGCCACCAGTGCCCGGCTGCTGGGGGAAAAGAGAAGGTATGGGGTCCAAGTTGAATCATTTTATATACCTGTGAGACAAAAGAACAATGTAAGCCGGGTGCCAGTGGCTCACGCCAGTAATCCTAGCTACTCAGGAGCCTGAGATCTGAGGATTTAGGCCCAGAGCCACACCCTGGGGCCGGAAAAGTCCACGAGACTCTTATCTCCAGTAAACCACCAGAAAACCGGAAGTGGCTCTGTGGTTCAAGTGGTAGAGCGCTAGTCTTCAATTTTTTTTATTTTACTTTTTTTATTTTTTGTTGTTGTTGGTCGTGGGGCTTGAATTCTGGGTCTGAGCCCTGTCCCTCAGCTCTTCATCTTAAGGCGAGAGCTCTACCACTTGAGCCACAGCACCACTTCTGGTTTTCTGAGTGGTTTATTGGAGATGAGAGTCTTTTTTTTGGGGGGGGGGCCGGTCGTGGGGCCTGAACTCTGGGCCTGGGTGCTGCCCCTCGCTCTTCAGCTCAAGGCTAGTGCTCTATCACTTGGGCCACAGCGCCACTTCCGGCTTTTTTCTTTTTGCTTATGTGGTGCTGAGGAATCAAACCTAGGGCCTCAGGCATGCAAGGCAAGCGCTCTACCACTGAGCCACCTTCCCAGCCCTGGAGATGAGAGTCTTACAGACTTTCCTGCCCCGGCTGGGTTGGGTTTGAACTGTGATCCTAAGATCTCAGCCTCCTAAGTAGCTAGGATTATTGGCGTGAGCCACCAGCACCCAGCTAGCCTTGAATTTAACAGCTGAGGGATAGCCGGGCACTGGTGGCTCACGCCTGTAATCCTAGCTACTCAGGAGGCTGAGATCTGAGGATCGCGGTTCAAAGCCAGCCCGGGCAGGAGAGACCATGAGACTCCTATCTCCAAAACCACCAGAAAACCAGAAGTGGCACTGTAGCTCAAGTGGTAGAGTGCTCGCCTTGAGCTGAAGAGCTGAGGGACAGCGCCCAGGCCCAGAGTTCAAGCTCTACGACCGACAAAAAAAAAAAAAAAAGAGCTGAGGGATAGTGCCTAGGCCCAGAGTTCAAGCCCCACAACCTACAAAAAAAATAAAATGTGTACCCTGTTGAACTTATTCTAGGAAGTGGGGAGGAAGGAGTCATAGAGGGATGGGTTTGATTTCTACATATAGTACAAATGTCCTTAAACATTAAGAAACAAGAGCTGGAATGTGGCTCAGTGGTAAAGTGCTTGTGTGCTTGCCTAGCATACATGAAGCCCTGGGTTCTATTCCTCAGTACCACGTACATAGAAAAAGCCAGAAGCGGTACTGTGGCTCAAGTGGTAGAGTGCTAGCCTTGCGCAAAAAGCAGCTCGGGGACACAGCCCAGGTGAGAGGGAGAGAGAGAGACAGACAGACAGACAAACATACCTCTCAAGTTCAGACTGAAAGCAACTCCTGTCTCAAGCTCAAAGCAGGTGCAGTTCTACAGCTGGTCAGCAGATCACAGGCATAACTGCCTCAGGTCATCTGGCATGTTCTTGTCATCACTGGCTGCTGTGGAATGATAGCTGAGAGGCCCTACCTGATGCAGATGCGTGGGAGACTATGGGTCATTAGACAGTCAGACAAGCAGGGGCAGAGACTTTCCAGGCAGTTGTAACCTCCAATCACAATTCCTACAGAGCCAGTTTCACAACAAGGCCTAAGCTAGCACTGCTGAGCCCAAGGGCTGCTTTGTTACTAAATATATTTCTTTGGGAGAACACAGTAAGGGCACTGAAGTCATAGTTTAGAAAACTGACATTTAAGGAACAGTCAAATAACATACAGATTTCGAGTCGTCCAGACAGGCACCAGAGAATACACTAGTAATCAGTACACCAAACCCGGACCTGGCCTTTTACAAAGATAGGTCGTTGTCTAAACAAGACTTGTCTTCATTACCGGAAAACTCAAATCGACCACAGTTCTCAAGTGCCCATCTCAGCCTTGACGCCAATTGGTGAGCCAAGGCTGGGTCGGTTCGCCCCCCACCACGTCCTCCGCGGGAAGCCGAGGACCCGGACCCCGCAGCCCAGCGACTTTAAGCCCCGCCTCCAATGGGGGAGCATGCGCAGCTCCTAGCGCTGGCCCCGCCCCTGGCGGATCCACCCCCCTCACAGAGCATGCGCCGTCCTCCCGCCGTCCCGCCCCTCCCTCCCAGAGCCCTGTGTTCCTTAGAAACCAGGCGGCGTGTTCCCGGTGTCAGCGCGCAAAAAATCTGGTCCCCGCGCATCCCCACCCACCAGCCTCTTTCAAGACGGGCGGGTGGCGTCTGAGACCTGTCCGGACCCATGGTCTCCAGTGCGGCGCTGGACGGGCGATGCCAGCGTGCCAGGTGAGAGGCGGCCGCAGCGGCGGGTGAGGGTGAAGGAGGGCATGGCGCTGCCGCGAGCGGGCGCCAGCCGGGCCTCCGCCGGTGCCCGAGGTCGGAGGCGTGGAGACTAAAAGCCAGGCTGGAAGGGGCCTGTGCTAAATTGCCAGCATGCGCCGTGAGTACCAGGGTCGCCTCGGGAATCGTTCTCCCCAGCCCAGAAGTAGATACGGTGCGTTTGCTTCTGGAATTTGGGATCTTGGAGGTCCTTGAACAGAACCCCATCCCGTCTGTAATACAGATGCGGAAACCTAGGCTCCGCCGTCCTGGGCCCAGCAGACCCTCCTACCTGTGTGAGGAAGGGCCCTTTGTGAATGAGGATGTGAGGGGTGGAAGCCCGAGACAAAGGGCTCGTGGGCTAGCTGGTCCATCCTCTTTCAGAATGAGCTAGGACTTTCAGAGGGTAAATATTTATTTAAGGAACAGGTGTTAAAGTGACAAGTTGAAGAAGGGACATCCCAGAAGGGTTAGGTTGTCTCTGCCAGTCCCGAATGCCCTTTGGCCACGTTGCCAGTGGCCCTGGCCTACCTTTAAAGCTCAAGGAAGAAGCAGATGGACTTATGGAGACAAAAGGTGAAATAAAGGATTCCTATTCACGGCTTATCCCATTTGAATGGAGAGGGAAATGAAGGTAGGGGACATGAGGGTTTGTGAATGATAGGATGAAAAGTCTATGTTCCAAATTGGAACACAATTTATAAAACAGGACTGGAATTGAAAAGTTAAAAACTACATAGGATCGACACCCAGAAATTTATAAACCATTGTATTTTTGTTCATTGTTCTCACAGTGTCATGCTTAAGGCATAGCCTTGTCATGACTTTGTGATTTATAGTGTATTAAGGCCTCCAGAGGAAGATTCTTTTTTTTTTTTTTTTTGCTTTTTTTTTTCTTTTTGCTTATGTGGTGCTGAGGAATGGAACCCAGGGC